TGTAAACAAAGTAACAGCACTAAGTGTCTATGTGAATAATATATGTAAACTCAAAGCAACAGCACTAAGTGTCTATGTGAATAATATATGTAAACTCAAAGCAACAGCACTGTCTATGTGAATAATATATGTAAACTCAAAGTAACAGCACTAAGTGTCTATGTGAATCAAGTAATAGCACTTTGTAAACATCGAAGTAACAGCACTCAGTGTCTATGTGAATAAAGTAACAGCACTGCTTGTTTACGTGAATAATAAGCCTCTCAGCTCTGTTAGGCTTATACATAGGAGTGTGCTCTTTAATGGCTACTTTCTATATGCTTGATTTTGTTTTAGTCTCCAAAATAGTTATAGTAGGAACAATGCACCCTTACCTAAATAATTTTTGTAACATACACTACGATTTCTGACATTAAATGCTATTGTTGTCCCATCATATTCTTACACCACAATATATATTTTTTAAAAGAAATGTTGAATGCATGACATACTATGCGTCATGTGTGTTTTCTACTTTTTGGTGGCACGTGTAAATCAGTACAGACATTGTTAACAAACTGTTCTTTTAGGAAATGACCAAATAACAACTGATAAAATCAAGATTTACTTGAAGTATGCAATGATTCAGTGCACAGTTATTTATAATACACATCTGAATCAATTTTCAAAATTGTCCTTGAACATTAGTACTTATTATTTCTGTACAGATTGAAAGCAGGGCCTGTTGAAGAAATTTTCCCCATTTTATATTTGTGTTATATCCAAACGATATGCTTATATAAGTTTTAAGTGTGAAGTTCAGATTTTATGTGAGCAAAAAATTATCTGCATTTGTATTTAGTGTGGTAGAATGCCACATTTTCCCTCCTACAATTATACATGTTTTTTTCAGACAGGCTGTTCTATGTCTGTCACTTATTATTTGAGTGACTTATGTAGTGGTTTAATTTCTGCCTCAATTTCCTCATCTGCAAAATGGAGATAATATTACCTACCTCACAGATACTGAACAGTTTGGGTCAGAGTTTTCTGTTATTAGAGCTAAAGGCCTTTATGTTTAGAACTCAAACATTAGAAATAAAATGGTCTGCCATTCCATGGTATGAAATGTATTTCTGCTTCTTGAGTTGATACAAGAAAATTCTTATTAAAACTTTGTATTTTGTCAGGTTTGTCTTTAAAGCATATGAAACAAATGTGTTTAAAGTAAATAGAATCATCTAGTGACCTTTTTCTGTTGTTGATTAAATATGGTATAAACTAAAAATCCAACTTTGTTTTTTTCCAAGTGAATAGCCAATTGATCTTTCACCTTTTGATTCATTCACCCCTATTTCGCTGATTTGAAACCACATTTTTATTGTATCGAGATTTATCCTTTGGTGTGGCTATTACATTTCTAGGCCCTGTATTCCTGTCCCCATTATTCTGGTGGTGCACAATCCAGATGGGCCAACCAAAGGATACCACCCTACTGCCCCACGCTGATGATTTCACTGCTCTTCACTCTCTGCTTTTTGCTGCTTTGTATAAACTCATTGTGAATTTCAGTGGTTCTGGTAACATTTTGTCACATCACGCTTTGTGCCTTATCCTGAACACTATTCCTTTATTAAAACCAGCATAACGGTTTTGAGTTATGTCCATGTTTATATATGTAGCTCTTGTAATTTTTTAGTATCTTATACTCTGTTCTATTAAAATAACTTAATTCTGTTGAAAAGCATCTTGTTTCTAATTTTTCGTGATTATGAACAATACAATTTTGGACATTGTGTATTTTATCCAGAGTAGAGCTGAATCCTCAACCCACAGTGAGAAAAAGTTTTAGTGACTATAAATACAAACATTTGTTGATTCGATCAGTATTTATTAGTCACTTATTAAGGAGAAGGCATTGTACAACAGTGAATAAAACGTAAGTTCTAGGGGTGCCTGGGTGGCTCAGTTGTTGAGCGTCTGCCTTCAGCTTGGGTAATGGTCCCAGGGTCCTGGGATCAAGCCCCGCATCAGGCTCCCTGCTCGGCGGGAAGCCTGCTTCTCCCTCTTCCGCTCCCCCTGCTTGTGTTCCCTCTCTTGCTGTGTCTCTCTCTGTCAGATAAATAAAATCTTAAAAAAAAAAAAAAAGTACTACTCTTCCTGAGATTAAATTGCAGTGAGACATACCAGCGTTGTCAGAAGACAGAAACCATAGCAGTGATTTGAACAGAAACAATATGATCTAAAGCACTGTTAACTTGGTGTACAGTTGTTAACTGGGGATCTGAAAGGGTAAAAAGGGAACACTGAGATATCGTGAAGATAGCAGGAATCGAAAAGGGAAAAATGAAGCTCACTAAGATAGCAACTGCAGGCTGCAGCTACCAGCTCTAGGCTGGTCAAATGAAGGGACCGGGGTAGGGGGGCCCTCCCTCAGAGCTGAAGTGCAGGCCTCCGAAAAGAACCTGTCCCACTGATGTGGTTATTGGAGCCCAGAGGAGGGGCCTCTCTGGACTGGGGCCCATACTGGCTGAGGAGAGAGTGCTGGTTGCCTGGCACTGGTTTCTCTGATGGGGCATGATGACGCTGGTATGCGAGTGTTAGAAAAACTGCAAACTGAATTTAGCTGCTTCTCTCAGAAGACTCCATGCCTGACTGGGGTGTGAAGCAGCATTGCTAAGGTGCTGACAGCACAGTATGCGGATGGAAAGCCCACAGGAAACGAACGGGAAGAAGCATGTCCCTTTGCCCTCCTCACCCTTGCAGTCCTCAAGCATATACTGTTGGCCAGGCATGACAGCTGGTAAAACGTAAGTATGGTCATAGTGGAAAAAGTCGGCTCACCCAACCCAGTCAAGCAACAGAAGTTAACATAAATAATACTGACATTTGGTATCATTCAATAGTATTGAATTTGTGTGCCATCTAATAGGATTAATACATCGGGATTAGTTAGCCACGTGATTTTTTTGGAGGGACTAAGTGATATGGGACATAAACATTCCATCTATAGTGTTATTTCTTCATTTTTATTATTTTTATTTTACAAATAATACTGGAATATATTCTTTTTTCAAATTACAGCTATTCCTTTCTTTTCCCTTCCCTTCCCAGCACAAGGACAGCAGTCCCATTGCAGGTCAGTGAGGTGAAGAGAGGAGCTCACACAGAACAGAGTAGCACTACTGTTCCTATCATAGAGACATGGGACACTGGGTTGGTGGCTAAGGAGATTATAGAGGAAATTGTTGGCGTGGTTGGAGATTGATTACATTGAGGGGAAGATGAGTGTATTGTAAATGGGAGCCAAGTTTCTCCCTGTTGAAGGTATTTATAAATATAGAAAGGTGGAAGACAGAACAGAACCCCGAGGTGTTGAATCAATTGGAGGTATTGGTAGGAATTGATCATTTTTTAAATATATATACATTGATAATAGATACATTTATAGATGTGTGTGTACATACATGGGTAGACACGTGCACGTGTATATGCAAATATACATGTGTGTATACAAACACACATGCGTGTGTGTGTGTGTGTGTATGAATGTCCTCCATACACATATTTCCTAGCTCTTTATGCTAAGATTGCTTAGAAGCAACTCCATCCCAGGAGCAATGAGCACTAGCTTCTAGAGTTTGGTTTCTAGATACTATCTTCCACTTAAAGGAAGCAGAACTCCTTGGTAAATGCCTGATTCCAGACCTGGGCCTGGAAAAGCAGATGAGCCTAAAACATCTTCCTGTGAGAGAAGGCAAGGAATGGCTCAACGAATAATAGGGGCATAGCTTGAAGATGCTCCTATTGGCCAAATCTGGAACAATTTGAGCATAAAAATGAATAGTAACAATGGAGTATAACCTATGGTATAAAACAAAAAGCCATGAATCCATAATGAGGTAGAAATAAATAAGTGGGGAGAAGGGAAATCTCTTCCTTACTAGTAAATGTATGAGGAAT